CCCCCCTGTGGCGACGGGCTGCATGCTAATCAGGTGCCTCCCTCCCCCCCCCCCCCCCCCCCCCCCCCCTCCTCCCCCGCCCTCCTCCCCGTCAGCAGGTGCGACCAACGCCCCTTTCGCCGCTTCCTCCGAGGCTCCTTTCCCCGTCTCACCATCGCCATGCCCTCTGCCTCCCCTTCCCCCATCTCCGTGTCTGGCATCCTGATTGCCGGCCTTCCTCTCGCTGTGCCCGTCCCCCCTCCGGCCGCCCGCCTCCCTGAAGTGCGGCCATATGCGTGTTAAGTTTGCGAATGCATTGTTCCCAATCCCTGCCCCGCTCCCGCCGCCGCTAGACACGCCGCGATTGCCTCCCCCGGCGACTCTTCCTTGATTTCGTCTCTCCTTCCATCGCGGCCGGTTTTGACTGGCCGCGATCCATCTCCCCTCCTTCCTCCCCCCCCCGCCCCCCGCCTCCCCTCTGCCCACAGCCGTCTCCCCCCGTGTCAATCATACACCCCCGCTCCGCCTGCTTGCCTAGCAGATGCACGCCCGTCAGCAGGCCGTGCCTCCGCCTGCATCTCCATCTGCCCCGCCTGCCCCCTCTGCCGGCCCGAATGAATCCCCCCCCATGACACAGGCTGAACAACCGCCGGCCCGTCTCGATTCCGGGTCGCCCGACAAGCCGGCCCCGCCGCCGGCCCACCCGAACCATGCCACTCCCCCTTCGCCGCGCCTCGGCGCGCCAGCCCGCGGCAAGCACTTTGACCCGGATCTCCGGCCTCGCGCCGCGATGCATGCGCGCAAGGCCACCCTCTTTGCCCGTCAGCGCCCCTGGCCACCTGGTGGCAGCGGTGCCAGCGACATTTCCGGGCGGCCGGCGCCTCGCGACCAGGCGATTTTGGCGGCCTTTGCCACTCTCACGGCCGACTCGCCGCCAGGACACGGGTCAGCACACTTGTCTCCGCCGCACACCGGGTCTCTGCTGCCGGTCGCCCCGGAGCCTGGCCCCTCTTCGGGTTTGAGCTTCTGCCCGGCCACGGGCGAGGCCGCCGCCGCCGCCGCCGCCGCCGCCGCCGCCGCCACCGCCAATGCCTCCTCCTCTTCTCCCCCCCTGTCACCGGCACTCCTGTCGGGCAGTTTGCAATCTGGCGGGATGTGTGATCCCCCCGGGTCTTTGACATCCCCTCCCCCGCCTGCGGCTTTGCCGGTGCCCGGGCCGCCCACCATGGAGGAAGACAGCATGATTGCGACTGCCGACGTCCCGGCCCTCGTCCAATCGGCCACCAGTTGCCTGATCCCGACCCTTCCTGCCAGTCCGGTGTCCACTCGAAGCCCCGGTGCTAGTGCACACTCCTCCCCGGCCGCTGGCATCACCGGAGCCACCGGGGTCGTCACAGCCGCTGGGTCTGCGGGACTCACCGGAGCCGCTGGAGCCGCTGGAGCCGCTGGAGCCGCTGGAGCCGCTGGAGCCGCTGGAACCAGCATCTCCCTCACCTTCGAGTCATCCCCCTCGGCTTCGCCCACCAGCTTCTCTGCTGGCTCTCAGGGTCAGCATTCCCCATCACCCTCACCATCCCCCTCGCCGTCACAGCCGCACCAGCCGCACCAGCCGCACCAGCCCCAGCAGCCACGCGGTCTGCCACGCTTCTGGTCCTTCGAGCGTGGCCCGCCACCTCAAATCGTGCCGCCACAGCCACCGGCACCGGCCACCTCGACTTCTCTCTTGTCCACAAGGCTTGGCCTCCGCCGGCGCAACTCCCTTCCCACACTCGGCTCCCGTGGGAGTTCGAGTCCCCGGTCGTCGTACGGCCGATCGGCCGGGCGCTCTTTGGCCCATGTGGCGGCGGCAGCCGCGCATCGGCAGCATTCCACTGCCCCTGGCGCACCCTCCGGGCAACAGTCGGGCACCGCCTCTCCCGGGGCCGACCTCCTTGGGTCGCCAATTTCCTCCTCTCTGGCGACCCTGCCTGCCGCCATGGCCTTGGGCTGCCCATCCTCGCCCGGGTTTTGCCCCATCACCGGCGCCTCGTCCTCGGACTTTTCCCTCAGCTGTGGGTCTTCGGATTCCGACGGGGGAACATCCTGTGACTCGTCCTCGCCAAGCGACACATCCAACAGTGACGGTGATTCCGACCTCGAGGGACCACAGGAGGATGGGGACTTCCCTGCTGCACCGGGCGGATCCTTCGATGGGCCCCGCCTTGCGAGCCATTCGCGCCGGCGACACTCCTCGGCATCCCCATCTCCCGGGCCCTGGCCTCGGGGTCAGGCCGCTGCCCATGCTTATGGACACTTCCTCGGCCATGGTCATGGCCATCAGCCCCCGTCATCTTCCCAGGGGCTCTCTTTCTTGCAGAGTGACCTCGACTGGCCGAGCTCGGCATCCGGAACACGGACCCCCTCCTCTTCATCCTCCTCCTCCTCGGTGTGCGCGTCCCCGCCTCCACCGGGGCCGGCCCTTGCCCTGGTGCCGGCTCCCCTGTTATCGACCTCCGGCTCGTCCTCCTTCGGGTCCCTTCCCCCTTCGCCGTCTCCTGGAGGCGGTGGCATCAGCAGTGGAGGCGATCATGCGAGTTCGATCCCGATGCTGACCCTCCCCCCGCGGTTGCACCGCTGGCGGGACATCCTCTGTCAAGCCTGCCGCGAGGATCCCCCGGCCACCAACCTCGGCGGGAGTCCTGGCGATTCGGCGTCCGTGCCTGCATCCGCGTCTGCACCTCTTCCGGAGCCGGCTCCTTCATCATGTCTCAGCTCCGGGGGCGGCAGTGGCGTCAGCGCCGGAGCCCCTTCTGGGGGGATATGTTGTTCTGCTTGCCGCCAGCCCCTTCCGATGGGGTACTTGGTGTCAATGGTCCAATGGTCAGCCGGCCGCTCGAGCTCCGGCAGCGGGCGCTCCGAACGCCGGCGGCGTCTCCGCCGCTCGCGATCCCCCTCGGCTTGTTCAACGCGCGGCGACTTGGATCCCGCGTCCTGGCGTGTTCGTCGGCAATACCGATCGGCTGATCGGCGCATCGAGCGCGATCAGCTTCTCGCATCGACGGGGCCGATGCCCGGCGCGACGTCAAACACCTCCGGCTCCCGCTCCCGCTCACAGTCACCCTCCCTCCGGGAAATGACCCCGCACAGCCCGCAGCCACCGCTCCAGGCTGATTTAGTCACCCCATTGACCCCCTCACGGACTAGTGCGTGTTTGCCATCGATTGGCCTTCCTTCCATTCTTCAATCCCCTCCTTCTGCCGCTATTTGCCACCCGCACCCGACATCAGACTGATCCCTCTCCTTTTCCCTGTCCCTTCCTCCCTCCTTCTCTTTCTCTCTCTCTCTCTCTCTCTCCCCCTCTCTCGCCCTTTCGATTCCTTCCTGTCACATCGTTAGTTGGTCCGTTTGTTGGTTCCTCGCCCTCGATTCCCTCGTCGCCATTGCTGGCTGGCACTGGTGCCCCTGATTCCGGAGGGCCCTCCCACCCGTTGGAGAGCTCACTGCGTTCCGTCTTTCAGACAGCGCCAGGATCTGCACCCTCGCGCGGAGTGAGTCCCCATGCTGGGGGTCTCTCAGCGGACATCGTGGGGCCTGCCGCCGGTGCGGGGGCGGTCCTCCCACCGCGACCTCCGCCGCCCCCTCCGCCCCTGCCACCAACACCGGCGCCTCCTCCGGCCCCACTCCACCTGGCGGCCCCTTGGGGATTCCCCCTGCCGGCGGATTCCCTGGGTGGGGCTGGTGATTCGGTGGCCCCGGAGTCCGAGGCCCCCATGCAGGATCTTCAAGCAACCATCATCGGCGAGAGTGGCAATGTCGGTGACAGTTCCATGGAGGATGATGCTGGTTGCGCTTCATCCTCAAGCAGCTCCTGTGTGGAGATGGCCGATGAGGGGACTGCCATTACCATGGATGGCGATCGGCCCCCGGTCCCTGCAGGGGCTTCAGCTCCCAGTCTCAGCCGGACACTCTTCGAATCGACCCGTTCGGCCCCTGCTGCCAGCGGTCTCCCTGCTTCACAACCGGGGTCCTTCATGGCATCGGACATGGTTGACTCCAGCGGCCCCAGCCTCCGGTCCCATGGCGGCCCTTCTCTCCTGGCCCGCGCTGGCAAGGCCAAGGCCGCTGTTTCCGCCGCCGCCGCCGCCGCCGCCGCCGCCGCCAGCACGGCCGGCCCCCGGTGGCCGCACCATCAGCCAATCCCAGTGACACCGGTTCCGGCCACACCTTCTGCCTCCTCTTCCATGTCTTCTTCTTCCTCCTCCTCTTCCCTGTCCTTGTCCCTGTCCTTGTCCTCGCCCGCCTCCAAGTCCGGGGGGCTGCCCTTCGGCCGGAGTCTCTCTGCCCCTGGTCCCTCTCCCGGTCGGCGAACATCACATCGTGCTCTGGACGCAGTCATTTCCAGCGCCGCTCTCATGGCTGCCATCGCCAATGGCGACAATGATGAGATTGCCTCGGCTCTGGGTGGCCGCCTGGTTCGGCGCATGAGTCTGAATGAGACGAACGCCGTACGCACATCACCTTTGTCGCCCATCTCCTCCCTGCCTCCTTCCCTCTGCACCTGCCTTGCCTTCCGAGCGGATTCACTCACACTGCGCTGTTTTGCCTGTGAAACACACACACGAACACGAACACACACGAACACACACGAACACACACGAACACACACGAACACACACGAACACGCACACACACGAACACACACACGCACACATGCATGCATGCACCCACCCAGCCCTCAGTCAACCGTATTGCCCAGTTGCAAAAGGAAGCCGAGTTCGAGTTCCCACTGGCGGCTGGCAGTTCTAGCAGCGGCCCTGGTGGTGGCTCGAATGGGGACCGTCCCCCTGCTCGCAAGTCGCCAGACTACACTTCCCCCCTGTTCGAGCGTGTGCCCACCACGGCGGCCATTTCGCCGGCGGCCATCAT